TTTTTTTTTTTTTTTTTTTTTTGAGACAGAGTCTCAATTTGTCACCCAGGCTGGAGTGCAGTGGCGTGATGTTGGCTCACTCTAACCTCCACTTCCTGGATTGAAGCAATTCTTCTGCCTTAGCCTCCCAAGCAGCTGGGACTACAGGTGCAGGCCACCACACTCTAATTTTTGTATTTTTAGTAGAGACAGGGCATCACCTTGTTGGCCAGGCTGGTCGTGAACTCATGATCTCATAATCTACCCGCCTCAATCTCCCAAAGTGCTGGGATTTCAGGCGTGAGATACCGCGTCCGGCTGTCCCTGTTATTTTCTAAACCTCACTGTACCCTCAGCTCCTTCCCAGCCCCAGCCCCGCTTGCCCGCTGTAAGGAAAACCCACTCCACTGGAGAAGGCCCAGAGCTGCTTGTTGTAAGAATTGGCGTCTCTGGGGGATTCCAGGCCCATCGTTTACATTTCAGGGGAAACACCCCCAAATCAAGGGGTGCCTTCCTAGAGTAACACCCCAGCTGCAGGCATCTCCGTCTTGCCCCACAGGAGCAGTCAGGGCCATGCCTGCGGGGGCTGAGCACCTGTACCCATCGTTTCTAGCAAGTTCAGTTTGAGTCAACAGCTTGATGGAACCCCTGCACTAAGCCTCACCCTGTGCCATCCCCTGGGGACCTGGAAATGACTCCTGACAGTCCCTGACTTTGAGGCATGGTAGAGACAGAAGGACACTCTCCACAGAACTGCTGAAGTGGACGGGGCTGCACTGCGGAGGGCGGGAGCAGGAGCACTGGGAGGGAGGTGGGGAGAAAGGGTAGGAGGGCCTGGGCACAGCCGGCATCGGAGGTGACCTGAGAGGAGAGCACAAAGGCCCAGCCTCTGGCCGAGGAGCTTTGAGGCTGCGACTCAGAAACCGCCCACAAGGCCTTCGGGGGAAGGACGGGCAGGCAGAGGGATGCACCCAGGGGCCTCAGTAGAGCAGGGCTGAGGGTGTCTCCCCAGGGAGTCTGGGACCAGGCCATAATGGGAATGGGGGTCGAACTTGGCTCCTTCTGCCCTTCTCCCTGTGGAATTCAGGCACAGCTGACCAGCATTAACATTACAAGAGATCTCAAGACTAAACAGACTTTATAGCCAGAAGACACCAAATTCCAACCTCACTCTAGTATAGCATTACAGGACAGACAGCAGGCCCTGAAACAGAAGTACTTCACCCAAAAATGCATTTCTTTGACATATTCTCACATAGCCCTGTAAAGCTGTCTCTCGTGGGGTCAATCCACATTCTGCAGTGAATCCCCCTCCCTTTCCAGGTCTTTTCCCTGATTCAGGAGAGACTCCACTAAGAGTATGGCGCCTTTTCAGGTCTGATAAGAAACATCTACAATCTGGTCTCTTTGAAGCCTGCTACCTGGAGGCTTCATCTGCGTAAATAAGAACACTGCTCTCCACAACCCCTTATCTGAACCCAGGCATTCCTTTCTGTTGATCCCAGGTCTTTAGACAAACTCAACTGATTGTCAAATCTACCTATAGCCTGGACCAGGCCTCCGACACACGCACCTCCCTAAAATGTACAAAACCAGGCTGCACACCAACCATCTTGGGGCACACGTTCTCGGGACCTCCTGAGGGCTGTGTCACCATAGTCACTCATATTGGACTCGAAATAAATCTCTTCAAATACTTTACACAGCTTGACTCTTTTTGTCAACAGGTGCAAATTCCAACCCCTGCCCCGGCTGCTGCTTCACTGTGTTCCCGCACAGGCTCCAGCAAGCCGACACACCCAGAGATGCTGCTGTACCTGGTGAGTTCGGGAATGCGCCGCACTCTGAGATTGAGTTATGAGTCCTTTATTATGCTGGCGACCAAGAGGTGGCTAACGCCCCAAATTCTCTCGGCCCCTAAGGAAGAGTTAGGTGGCCTTTTATACCTTAGTTTTAAAGGGGAAGGGGAACCTAGCTGAAGCAAATTTTTCACAGAAGCAGAGTAAGGAAAAAGTTAAAAGATAAACTAGTACATGAGAAATAAAACAATGCCAGCTGGGAGGGGTAGAGCTGTCATGAAAGACATACAACTTATAGATAATGGGGGCTCGACAGCACCTGCATTCCCAGGCTCTGCTGGTACCACTTAACTCGGCCTCTTGTCAACAAATGCATTCCTGGAGGTGCCCAGTGCCAGCCTGCCCCAGCTACATACTACAGTTACATACTTAATGGTGGGAAAATAACTAAAATGAAGAAGCCAAGATGGAGTCTGTCTGGCTTAAGAAGCTAACATAAAGTCTGAACAGCTCTCAGTCTGAGGAGTTAGTTTTAGCTAGCAAAAAGCAGGTTATCACATTCCCCACTTGTGTTTTTGGGGATTTAAATTATTGATTTCTTAGTTATAACGAGGGGATTACATTGGGTTTCAAGATACATAAGTTTGACAGAAGCTATGCGCCATTTTACAAAATTAATAAACCAATTTAATAGACAGGGCCCAAAAGTTAACCCCAACAAGAGCGGGAGAAGAGGCCCTGCTAATCCAGTTATTAAAGTGGTGAGCCAAGGCTTCCAGTTAAACATGCTTTGGTACCATGGGGTGTTACTTTTTCATTCTCGTTGGCGTTTATTTAAATTTTCTTGAACCTTTTGAAGAGTATTCTTTGTAACTTCAGACTGGTTAGCGTAAAAACAACAGCTTTCCCCTAACGCTGCACATAAACCCCCTTGGGAGAGAAACACTAGGTCCAGGCCACGGCGGTTTTGAAGAACAACTTCAGCTGAGGAGTTTACCTGGGCGTGCCGTGTATTTACGGCTGATGGGAGATTTCTTAAATCTGCATCTACTTGCTGGGTTAGGGACCCTAGTCCAGCTTTTCCTCGGAGCTGTGCTGATTGCTGCTGACTTAGCCACACTGAGGCCAGCCAAAAGGGGCACTAGGAGTGGGGCACCCCGGCGGCACCTGGGGTGCAAGTTTAGGAGGGGCAATGAGAAGCTGTCCCTCTGGCCTGCTGTACACATAAACCTGAGGAAGCACATGAACTAGCACGCACAGGAGAGGTCCAGGTTTAGTCCCGTTAATGCAGCGGGTGAGGCCTGAGGTGCAAGCTAGTCAAGTGTCATTTGGTGCCTGGTAGGAGACTGAGGCAGTTAGGGAAGTAAGCAGAGTCCGACTGCAGGTGGCCCAGAAAGGGGAAACGGGTAGGTTATACCCCTCACTGACTAGGCAGGAGGCGTTTCCTGAAACATTCTGTAATGTAAGGGAGCGAGGATGAGCACGACGCGGAAGAGGGCCAGTATTTAACTTGACCTTAACTCCCAATCCAACATAATACGGAGGTTTGGCCTTCAGGCATAACCAACAGTCTTGGGCCAGTTTAGGCTGAGTAAATTAAGGAGGTGATGCACTCCCCCTAAGATGGACATTAAGCTGGGTTGGAGGTGTTGGGGTGGCAGCCGGAGTTGGGGAGTCTGGACTGGCGATAGGACAGTTGGGCCAATGGGGCTGACCTTATCTGGGTACGGGCGGAACATAGGGTTTTCTAAATTAGTTAAGGGACCAATGGGTTTAGGGGGGCTCCGGGGGATTAGGATCCTCTTTTGAATGGTAAACAGAGTTTTAAGATTAAACCCTTTGATAGAGAGTTGCAGTCCCCATGTTATACCATAGTGCCATTGAACTGAGTTAGGGTTACAGACAGTTACAGTAATGGGATAACAGGCTCCCACAGCACATGGTCTAGGATGAGAGGTCCGGGCTATGGAAAGCGTTGGGGACCGAGTTGCCCCCCGCCCTGGGTAAGTAGCCAAGGTTACAGATGACCAAAAGGGCAGAAAAACTTGTAACTATCCCGGCAGGCAGCATTAGGGTGGTCTTCAGGACAGAGGTGAAATTTACTCGTTGGAGTCCCTTTTCTGCACCCCTCGAGCTGCCGCATCCACTTCACTTCCAGTGTGCCCGAACCCTGCAGCAAAGTTAACGAGTCCCGCTCCTGCCCGCAGGGGCAAACTTCGCTGGTTCTAGAAGGAACAGCTGGGCTTTGGGAACAAAACACATAAATTGATTGAAAAAGAAACTTTATTGGAGGTACTTTCTTTCCAGGTGGTATTGGCAAGCCCTTTGCCTATTGCAAAAGAAGAGAAAGGAATAGGAGGGGGCAGAGGGCTGAACAACCGTGAACAGACAAGAAAAGTAGACAGAACTAGTCTGATGGCTGCACCTGAG